TGACTTTGGAGATAAGCGCACGGAATGTCAAATGCTCATCACTGAACGAGTCAAGCTTATATTGTCTTTGCACAAGCATTATGGCCAATTCAGCATATGAAGTTTTGTACTCGTCTCCGCAGCGCCAGTGAAGCTCGCTTACAAAGGTCGTAAACTGTGTCCAGTCGTTGTCAGATGCCGTCCACGCTGGCAAGGGATCACCGCCAACCAAGGAGTGAGCTTGCCAGCAATAATCAGCCTCTTTATCATGCCATGGGAGTTGCGGAAAGCGATCCTCCGGTGCAGCAATTGTCACATCCGCTTCATGATCAGACTCAACCTCCCTCGGGGGGGGAGGTGGAGCCAATCATGCGACAAAGCTGTGTTAGCCACGTTTGGCGCTCAACAACACTCTGGCATAACTGTTCGTACATTGGAGCAAAAATCGCAGCATTCTTCAAAGCGGCACGCTTCGCAGCATGGTCAGCACGACGATTGTTGACAATATCAATGACTGTTGTGCCATGAAGGTGTGCAGCTTGTGGTGTCAACAAGAATTCCGGGACGTCCTCCATCACGTGGGCGGGGACCCAAAAACATTCAAGTGGACAATCACAAAACATGTATCGGTGATGAAGAACGCCAGCAAGAAAATGCCACCAAGTTTGCAAGGGCCATGACTCCCCAACATGCTTCATCTTTAGCAAGTCAGCCAGGTGGTCTGCCATGCTCTTACAATCTGTTCGAATCTGGAGTGGTCCTGAGGCAGTGGCAACAGCGACAACTACCGCCCAAAGTTCGGCTGTGTAACTGGAGAGGTTCCAGTGGTGCACTCCACCCTGATGTAAAACAACACCGTTAGAGTTTACCACAGAGTACCCAGCACAGGAAAGAATGAAATGATTAGGCCATTGCACAGACCCATCAGTCCAAACGGTTTGTTTGGGCAAACTAGAATTCCAAGGAACCTGAGGAATGGTTGTGGGGTCAGAGACTTTCAACCTGTGTTGGAGCACTGCAACCGGGTGTTCAACGACTCCAAGCAATTCAAAATTCGGCCCTAGTTCATGCACAGGGGGTGGAGGGCAAATTTTCTGGATCTCAGGGCACTCTCGAACCAAATGTGGAAGAGATTCTTTTGTTTGCTGGCATAACCTGCAAGTGGATTCAGGAATTCGTTTGGCTGCAGCCAGTCGATCTTTGGTGAGAACACAACCCACAAGCTGCGCTTCAAAGAAAGCAGAATCAGGGATATCATCATCACTAGATTCATGCTTCTGCCTAGCAAAGCTAGTGGAAAGCCAAAAATCTAGAATTCCCGATGGCGTCCGAATGTCCTTTCGGCTTTGGGTGCCGGCATTTACATGGCAACTGTGTCTGGCAAGTTGCTGCAAAACAGGCCGAACATCGCGAGGAGACAGCTGTTCCAGCGCGCAGAGCTGACGACCCGCCAATGCCAATGTTCCATCATTGCACAGTTCAAGGTGAAAGAACTCAAAAGCTTGCTGAACTTTAATGGCAAGGGAGTGCTTATGCTTATTAGGTGCGTCCAAAAGGGATCGGAACCGGGTTCGTTCACTAGGAAACAAATGAAGGTAACGACAAACGTCCATGATGGAAGCATAGTGCCTTGCACATAAAGGTTCAACCCTGTGTGGCTTGCTCAAAAAGGCAAAAACCAGAAACTTAGCACGCCAATGCGGTCTGTTCTTCCATAGCGTGGTTACTATTTCACCTTGTATGCGAGCAAGTGCACGGGCAGGGATCATGTTAATAGCAGCATTATACGTGCACTGGGGTAAGACTTTCGCGCCTAACACCTTTGCTTTGTGGGCGACAGACACAGGCAGGCTGGAGATATTACGTATGTCGGCAAGGATCTTAGCGATCTTATCCTCAGGAAAATGCATGGCAACGCGGTTGCTGGTTTGAACGTGGACCCCCAAGATTTCAACTTCAAGGGCGCACTGCATGGCAGGGAAAAGGTCTTTGATGGCTTTCCGTGCCACAGTTGAGGAGCCCCAAACAATGCATTTGGAGGCATTCATAGACTGGCCCACCAATTCGTCCCAGGTTTTAGTGATCTGGATAGCTTGGAAAAGATCAGATTTGTGGATGAGGCGTGTCCATAAGTATGCATCGTCAACAAAGGCTTGCGCCGTGACTGTGGGAAGCACATCAAGTAAGTGGATCCAGACCTTCATGTGGACATTGATGGCAATGAGCGACAATGAACACCCTTGGGCTACCCCGTTGGGGCCATGTGTGGGTAAGTGCAGCATCCATGATTTATAGGACAAGTGTTTAGACATACCCTGGTAAATCTTTAGGAAAATATTAACCACTTTTTTGGGTATTCCGAATGCCAACATCAGGGCAGCAGCGTATTCAGGGATGATACGATCGAAGCATTTTGCTTTGTCGATTTTTACTCCTATTAGGTCACAATCCTCAGCACGCGCTTGATCAAGAGTGAGGGCAAACTTAGTGTGGATGGCAGCCATATGCCTCTGTGGGATGCCACCTTGCAACTGCATGGGCATGATGCGCATTTGCCACTCTTTCAAATGAATAAAGCGAGCACCAGTGTATGCGAGGAGAATGACAGGAAGGAGCGTAATGAGACGCTTCTGCAATGGTTCAGAGCTTCCATTTTTGTTGAGGATGATTTGGCGCGCAGTAGACAGAACTTGAGGAAGCGGCTCGTGATTGTCTTCAAGTCTATGAAAGAAGGCCGCAAACCAAGCGAAACAGGCACGCGGAAGTGCTTGCATTTCGGTCGTGCGCCATCCATCAAGGCCGGGTGCAGCCTCTTTTTTCCGTTTTTTAACAACGTTCCTAAGATCATCAGCACTGAGCTCAGGGACAGGGTAATCCAAATGGAAATGATGGATGTGAGGCCAAACAATCTCTAACATCTTCAAGGCATGGGGAAAACCCATGTTGGCACTAAAAACCGGGTCCCATTGATTATTTATCTCACACATAGCTTGTTCTGGGTCAAAAATTGCGTTGCCTTGTGAGTCGACAACAAGATTGGCAGGTTCTGTTGTGACCTTGTTTTTAAGGTGCTTAAACAAGAAAGCAGAACCAATCTTGGCCGAATCTTTGATCTTGTTCTGCCACATCGTGATTCTCTGTAGTTTAATCTTGATTTCATGCGTGGCAATGCGATCTTGGACCCATTGAATGGCCACGGTCACATCAGCGAGATTGGGTCTCCGAGACGATGGCCACAGGAAGGGTGCACGGAGCCTTGCCAGGCGGTTCCAAACACGGACAAAAGTGCGATGCTGAATGAAACGATGTGTGTCACTGACAATGTTCCGTGACAAGAACTGTTCAATCTCACGTAAACCCCCCAGAGCATTGTAAAGCCACGAGAGCACCAAGGTGGTGGCTAGACCATTGGATCTCTGTCCAGGACAAACTTTCTTTGGGCGAAATCGAATAGGTGTGCCTCTGGTGCGAGGTCCACTTCCCCATGTAGCGCCCTGGTTAAGAAGGGTCTGGATACAGGAATCATTGGTGCGATTCCAACAATGGTCAATGTCATCATGGATGGACCACGGTGGGTCCTCGGAGGGCGAGGGGTTAAGGTCGACAGGTGGCACTTCAAACACAAAGGGTGCCGTTTTGTGGAGAACATAACCACACTGCCAGACCCGTTTCCACGACAGCTCGACACGAAGAGGCCGGTGTTGGGTATTGAAGTTTGAAAGAACTTCGGCGGTGACAACCGCACACGAAGCGACTTTGTTTACAAGGATGGCATCAATACTGCTGCACCCATCCCCAAAACCTGAAAAGGTCCCATTGGCGGAAAAGGTTAGGGGCCTACAATTAGTTTCGTGGTCAAGGTGAGCGATAGTGTCAACCCATTGGTGATAATTAACAGCACAGGTGACAGATTCGTACTGGAGCGGCTCGGTTTGGAAATCCCCAGCAATGAAGACAGGAATGTCTCCGAACTGACTGGCAACCGCAAAGATGTCAGCGAGGAGGCCATTATTAAAGTGGAGTACATCACGATCTTGGCTGGCTGCCGTTTTGCAGTAGACATTGAAGACAAGAGCTTCCAAAGTAGGGGTGATTTGAATCCAAACAGCTTGAACCCTCTTAGTATTAAACAGTCCAATGTACTTCCCAGTATTATCATCTTTGCTCAAGAAGGGGATGCAAAGTTCCGCAGGGGCAGCAATGGCAACCCCCCCATGGGGGGTTCGCATAACACCGTTCGAAGCGAAAAGGCCAGGTAAAAGTGCCCCAGGGAAAAGGGTTTTCCCGCATTGAGCAACAGTATGCTTGGCATTGTTGATGCAATTCTTACCGATTCGTGTTTCCTGCAAACAGGTGATTGCAGAATTCCATGTTTTCCAGGTGGTGGCCGTTTTGATCGACCCGATGTTGGCCGAGAATAAGTTCCAAGAATCATCACGGAGAGGTCCTTCCCCAGGATACCCTTTGGTGGCATCAAAGGACTTGGAGGCAACCCAGATGAGTCGAACAAACGAGTGACTGGCATGAAACCAGATGGTGAACAAACTAGATTCTGAAAGGGGCGGAGGGACAGTGATATCCGAAAAAGCCACAGAAAAACTCGTGTGATAGAGCCGGCGAGGGCATCTTTTGCAAAGCGCACGAGGTCTGTTGGATCTATGACTGCGAGCACTTCCCCATTTGAATTGAGTGGACTTACCTAATGCAGTGCAAAGGCTCGAACGTGCGCTGCAGAGCAAGTCCAGCTCACAAGCGCTTGCATGACGGACAAACAGAGGTGAAGAACAACGAAAACCAGGAAGCGCCAAGGAGCAAAGCATTAACACGGGAGCTCGTTTCAGCTCACACCGAAGAAAAGATCTGGAGAAAGCCAGCGTTGTGAACTGCTCAAGGCAGAGAAGAAAAGTCCACGGCAGCCCGCACCAATACACACAGACAAGCAGTGAGCCCCAACAGAGATGCAACAAAAGACCAAAAGTCCACTGCAAGCACCCATGCAAGGAGCCGACTGCCCCGGCTTTTCATGCGATACGCTGGTTCTTGGGCGGTGGGGATTCACCGCTGGGCTCATGAGCTCGGTTCGTGCTGAGCTGCACGAGTTGCCTCAAAGTGTCACCTATATCGTTGAACCGCTGGTCCAACTTGCTCTCGAGACTTGTCTGTTTGTGTTCAATTCCGGTGACTTGCTTTTGCAAAGAATCGAAACGGTTTTCGAGCTGGTCGATGCGTTTCTTGTCTTGTTGTGCTGAGGCTGCAGCAATCGAGGTGGCTGCTGGTGGAAAATGAGGCTCGTCTTTGGTGAAGCCTTTCTTAGGCGGGCGTTGCTTCCCCTTGCCATTCCCCTTGGAGTGAAATGGCGTGGGAGTCAACAGGATCTGGTGCAAGGACCCGTTGATCTTGACCGTGAAGGTCTGGACATGTGGTAGGGTTTGGAAGCCCAATTGCCATGTATGTACTCCGGCGGACCGGAAGGTTCTCGTCGGGATGGGTGCTTGGCTCACTGCTTTGGTGACTGACTCGATCACATCGGCAGGCGAGGCTCCAGGCGGCCAGCCTGCAGCGTCCATCATATGCCGTGGAACAACTGCGATGTTGGTGTCGTTCAGCCTGGCATCATTTGGCAAGAGCTTCCGCCTCACCTCGGCGATGTTCGCAGTCCAGGCCCTGATTGCGAGGCCTCTGCGGGTGAGGATGGCACCTGCAATGCCCTTGACACCTTCAATGCTGATGGACAATTCTCTGAGGCCCTTCTGGCTAACTTCCCAAAACTTCGGGATGACAGAAGTGTCAATTGGTTGCGAGCCAGAGTCCAAAAAGTCCCGAAGTAGAATTCCCTGCTGGCCGCTAAGCGAGAGCAGGGTGCTTCTAGCAGCACTTGGCAGTTTTGCAATCACCTGCAACTGGTCATCTTCGCGTGAAGAGGTTGGGTGGCGGTTGTGTCTGAACCCGTAGACAGAAACATGGTCCGCGTGTGTTGGTGTTGCAGCGGTGATGTACTGCCGAAAGTACTGGATGGGATTGTCTTTGGCTTTGTCGAACTCGTGTTTGGGGACTAACCGTGAGTCCAGTTCTAAAACCAACTCGGCAATCTCCGACATTGTGAATTCACAAGTTGGTTCACGAAGCTTGTACTGGAATTCACCATAAATGGCAACAGCTGAGACCACTCTCTTGTAGGAGGCTTTGGTAGCTCGATCTTCCAGGACGACCTCAAAGGGACCATGGAAAGTCAGGTTGCTGTTGGCCTTGGTTTGCTGGTCAATAAGCGGCAGGATGACAACCAAAGGTTGTTTTGGATTGAGCTTGACAAGCTCTGGCAGACATTGCTTGGTGGCTAAGACCACACCCTTGGTGGAAGTTGTGGTTTGCAGTCTGTGATACTGCAATAGCTGGTCTCCTTTGCTGTCTTGGAAAGGGTGCTGATCTTCTAACTTCAAGTCCGCCCATCGTGAGGATGCCGCTGCTGCTTTGGCCCATGAGTCATGTGCCATGAGCGGGTCTGCTCCGCTGTGAGGAGTGCCCTTTGGTTTTGCAGCTGCTTTGGCGTCCCCAGCACCTCCTGCAGCTTGATGATCAGGAAATCGGCCTTGCAAGACTTGGAGAATGTGCCAAGGGAGCAGTCGCATGGCAAAATAGGCAGCCTGGTGCATGTCCGGTTGTTGCCATGCAAGAGTTGCATTTGTCAGGACCCTCTGGACATCAACATGATGGATGCTGCGAAGAAAGGATGCCTCATGCAATGGCCCAGGATAATGGACCTGGATGCCAACCTTTTCAAAGCAGAGCCACAACAAGGTCCACCCACACAAATGAGGGTGAGCATGGAAGTCACGACAAACCACATGTGGGACCGGTTCAATTCCTAAGTGCTGGCACACGGCAGTAGCACACTGAACAGCAAGAGGGCGGAGTTCTGGTGGTCCAGTCAGAAAGAGCCAACTTGCACACACCGTGGATTGAAATTCGCAAAGAATCCAATGCTGCTCCCACAAAATGAGACCAATGGCCTTCTGAGAAGCTTGAATTGGCGAGCACAAGTCATTGAATGCCGAAACACCCTGAGAAGTCCACTGCATTGGTGGGAGGTATACTGTGTCCGGATCCGCTTCACGCAGAAAGTCCAAGAGGTAATCTGCCGTGTCTGAAAAGAGCCAGCCAGGGCGAGTGTCGAACAGGTTGAGACGTTCTTGGACTCGCAACTGCGGAGTAGCAGAGCCAACCGGGGGCAGATGTGGAATAGGCAGCTGATGACCTGTATCGTTCAAGGCCCCTCCAACATTCCTCTCATTGGGAAAGCGGTTTTGAATGATGTGCACAAGGAATTCAAGCGCAATGCCAGAGGCAAACTGCAGCAAATCAGGGTCACCTTGTGTCTCCCAAAGATTGGTTTCTGCAACTTGAACTTGCCGGATAAGAGCTTGCAGCCTGTGAACACGCAGTGCAGCAAGCCACAGCTGGCTGAGCTGAGGTAATGGGACTTGGAAGCGTCGAAGGGGAGTTCGAAGCAGCGACCAGCCACAAAGTCCAACAGGAGCTGCGAAGTGGGTTGCAGCGGTATTCAACACAAGGTTGTGGAGCCGGAAGAGTCGACACACTGCAGCAACCAGGAGGTGCAAGTCAGGCAAGATCTCAATGGGGCCAACAGTCTGAATGAATACCTCCCATGCATGGACATGGAGTTCACACAGGATCCAATGCTCTCTCCAGAGGACAAAGAGAATAATCTGACTAAACGTGTCATGCAGGCATTCCAAGCCGGCCAGGAAACGCAAAGACTGATCATCAGAAATCCACTGGGCCGGGGGGCAAAAGCATATCTGCGGACAATGCCAGCGGAGCGATTCAAGGGCGTGGTCCAAAGTGTCAGAGGAGAGCCAACCAGGCCTGCCGAGCGACTCAAGGAGTCTGATGTGGACTCTGTCTGGTTGCTGTGGTGCCGGATCGATGGGCGCTGGCTGAAGTGGCGCTGCTTCAGGTGTGTCTTGGGCTTGTGATGGTGCTGCTTGTTGCCCTGTATGTAGAGGTCTTGCAGTGGGTGCCAATTGCGCCGGGAACTGAACGTGCAGTGGGACATTGACAACTGATGAATCACGGGTGGCTGTAATGGCAAGATTGACCAAGAAGTTGGTGCGGAGGGCAGTAGCGAAGTGCATCAGATTGTCAGATGCCCCTGCTCTGCGCCAATCTTCCTGAGCTGCTTCCCATGCCTCACGAATTTCACCACGTCGAAATGCAGGCAAGTCATTGAATTGATTCATAGTATCAGGAAGCTGATGCAAGGCCTGGCATAAGATGTAGTAGCGCTGGAGGAGAAACCAACCGCACAAATGCTCCGGAGGCTGTGCAGGGTGGATGTGTTGTTGCACACGCTGGGGTGTGACATCCATACGTCTACAGATCATGTGCATTGCTCGTTGGGCAAGGTTGGCGCCCAGTCCAAAGGTGTGGACTTGTGTGTGATGGCCAATGATGTTGACTTCGATTGCTGCCCAGTGGTTGTCGACTAGCACAGCTGTGACTGCTCGTCCACTCTCTGCAAAGCGTGGCTCTCCATACAGCTCATCACTGAATTCCTGTTCAGCAGTGTGCCATTGGAGAATGTTGAACTCGGCAATTGTCTCGGGGAATCGGCGAAGAAGCCACATCATAGCAGCATGCAGTTCATCCGACGCAGCCCAACCGTGGGTGTTGATACTGAAGCTGATCCTGTCCGTGAAGTTGGCTCCTCTTGGTAGGACTTCAGGATTGGTGGTCCAGCGGTGATGGCCACCTACAACAACATCAGTGAGAACAGGCTCGATCAGCAACCAGTCTCCGTTGGCCAGGTGAAGTCGATCCCCTGTGCATGGACGATCATTGTGGTGCACGATCTGGAAGAGACCTTCCTGCGTAGTGATCTTGGTGGATCGCTCGATTTCTTTGGGCACAACATGCGCCCTCACCCAAACTTCAGTCTGCAATTTTTGGAACATGACCAACGCGTTGTTGGAGTGATTGCGGTCCCTCACAGTGAAGAGAGGGCCTGGAGCAATCTTGCGAATCGGGAAGGGGCTCTGGTAGACCATGTGCTTGTGGGGTCCAAAATGGGTTGCCAGCTGCTCTTGGAGGTCCGCTGCTGGTACAGTGGAGTCGAGTGCAATGGTGAGCACTCCCAGGGTAGGTTCCCAGAGAAGGGACACAATTTGCCTGTTGCTGTTGCTTGGAAGAGCCCAGCGAGTGTTGAACTCGAGAAAGCATAGCATCTCTTGAAAGAGCTCTGGTGACAGCCTGTATGCGGGGCTTGAGTCAAGAGCAATGATCAATGATTCGTCCTCACGAGCTGAAAAAGGGACCGTGGGAGGTATCTCATCAGCATGTGGTGCAGGCCTTGAGGCCGCTGGAGGTGATTGAGCGCGAATCAGCAGGAGAGGAAAAGTCCATAAAAGGCATTCGATCTGTGAGGCAGTAGCCAAGGCATCGGCAATTGGAATGTCCTGTAGTAGAGTCCCATCAGTCGCATGGAACCTTAGTGCTTCAGGGCGAAGTCCCTTAGTGAACATCGTGAGGATCACAACAGTGGTCAGGGTGGCCTGAGCTGGGACTTTAGCATACCACTCGTGTTGCTTCGACTGGTGCACAAGTTGGAGAGCTACAGCAGGCCCAGCGAATGACATTGGCAAGACGCGGCACGGCATCTGAGAAGCTATGTCTTCAACACGGCTGATGGTTAACCACTGCTCGAACACCTGAACAAGCGAGTTGCTGGTCGTAAGACGGTCTGTCCAGGCTTGACGAACCAGGCGGACTGGGTTCAAATCCAAAGCAAAGAGGGCTCCGACACCGACTGCGAGACAGAGAGTGGCCTGAGACTGCGAAATGGCATTACCTAAAATATGGAATGCAAAGGACGCATCACTGGGGAGAGTGATCTTTGCGGTGGTTCCAAAGAGAGGCACGAACCTGGTTGGGCATGTAAAGCAAAATGACCCATCCCTCATTTCGAGTGCAGCAAAAATGCCCTTAGTCATGACATGGTCGACCTGCAAAAGATGCTGGCGTGTGTAAGATGAGCAAAGGGTCGGCAAAGGATGCGTTCTGTCTGCCAATCGAAGATTCAAAACCTCAGTCGAAGAGAGCATTGTGGTCCTGGCACGCTTGGCTGGCGGGAGTAGTCCCGGATTACCGTACTTCTCCATAGCATCTTGGGTCAGACGAAGCTGGTGGTGGAACGATTCAGGTGTCCAAAAGGAATTGAGCTCATCACACCAAGACACCAATGGAGGGGCCCGAAGTTCAAAGGCAGTTTCATGCGGCTTCAAACCCAGATCATGACGAGCCCACACTCCAAGCCACCTGGACCTCTGGTTATGCGTAAGGTGGTGCATGTGAACAACCTGTTGCCAAACACGATGAAATCCAACCAGGTCAAGAAGGGCTTCCAAAATGGGGAAGTGCTCATGCGAAACTGTCGAATCCGCCCCTTCTAAAAAGAGGAGCAGCGGCTGTTGAACCTCAATCAACATGATCGTTTCGATCATGGCATACCCACTACTGCAGCTAAACCCTTGCTTGCGGCCTCCTTGAGACCAGGAGATGCACGGAGGCGAATCCGTCATGACACTGTTGTGTCTATGTGGCCAAGCATGAAGCAATGAAAGGTCATCAACTCCAGTGCAAATTCCAGTCTTCAGCCTCAGATCAACGGTGGCAGTGCTCGGAGTCCGTCCTTGATGATGGGTCGTTCCATATTGGCAGCTCCATACCTTCATGATCCTCTCGTCGTTGTCTATGAACAGTTCGTGTGCAATCTGAATCGCAGGCACCTTGCTCGACAACCAATGCAATGCTCTTGTCCAGCCTCCATAAGCGCCAGCAAACACATGCAATACGTTCAGAGGTTCGGAGTCAACCAACTTCGGGCGAAAAACAATGACTGTATCAACACCCAAAGCAAGGGAGCTCCATTGCCCACCAACCACTTGTGTCCCCACACATGTGATGTGATCTCCAACAGCGGGTGTCAGTGACCTCCGGTTCAAATTTGGCACTGTGACACGCACCTTTGGCAATCCATTTGTAGGTACGACATACCCACGTCCAGGATTGAACTCGAAGGGCTCAAGCTCCAGCGCAGCTTCTGTAGCCATCGCAACCAAACCTGAAATGATCACCTTCCCATCATGTCGGATCAAGTGGGATGCCGTGTGGTGATCATTCAGGAACGCTTTGATGCGTCCCCTCCAGGGCTCATCGACCATCCTCTCAACCGCCGAATGCCATCGGCGCAAGCCCTCGACCATGGCGCACGAAGTCACGAGCTACCACAAAGGTCCGTGGCGGGTCGGTCAACAGACCTTTGTGGACGCCCCACCCTCGCTTCGCAGCGAGCAGCAGGGCCGCGGGAACCCGGTGTGCCCTAAGGCAAAAGGCTTTGGGCCTAGATGCCTAGTTGGAAATCCTCTTCATATGGGGGTGAAATATCATCAAGAGTCTACATTGGTGAGAAAAGACTGGACTTGCACGGAGCATCCCGTGAGTGTTTGTTGCAGGATGGCCTTCCCCAACTTTGAAAAGGGTTGATGCTGTGGCCGACTTCGGTTGCGATGTGACTTTCACACCTTCATGGCCTTTGTGCAAGTTGCACCTCACAGAGTGCATGCGGAGTTTTAGAAACCACAATGTGCAGACCGCCAGAAGGCCCCACAAACTAGGACCCAGGCCACAAACACGATCAGATCACAAACACCGATTCTGTTGGGATCCGTTCGCTCACTTCGATGCCTTCAGTCTGTACCTCATATGTCTGTGACCCACGTCCCTCGCAGCTTGCTGAGGCGAAGGTTTACCTGGCCAGGAACGAGCAACGGGCTTGGCAAGAATGGGGCAGTGGGGCAGGCCGCGGGTGGTTGGACAGGTCTACAAGTTAGACCCCACCGTGAAGGAACCAAAGACCTTATACAAGTATCGCATTTTGGTCAGAGTCCCAACTCAAAATGGAAGGAGTCCTAAAACATCTTTCTTTGAGGGGGATTTAGTTTCTGTTCCGAGGTCTGTGTAGAACATCTCCATCTTCTCTGGTTCGAGGACTCCACGGTCTGGTGCAGGTGTCAACGGTTTGGGTCCGACGGCGATACCGCCGCTTCGGTGCACCGTCTTTCTGGGTGCATCTGGTCTGTGTTTCTCAGACCTGCAAATTGTCAAGCACCACTTTTGGCACGAACAGACTCGTGGAACAGTTCGACTTGAGGCACCCGGGCGGGACACATCAGAAGGGGAACGGGGACATATATCAGACGCGAACTGTTTGGTCAATCTAAATGGAGGGTGGGAGAGTGTTTGGGTGTCTTGTATATCCCCTGGATGATCCGGGATGATGGGCTCGGTTGGGCATTTTTTGTGACATCTCTATTGCACTTATTGCAGTATGCAGCGTGTGCAAAATCACGCAAAGACTTGAATTTGACCAGAGGCGGTTCAACATAGGGTTTGGAATCAGAGTGCTCCGGGAACGGTTCTCAAAGGAACATTGTTGCCATCGCGCAAATTACTTGGTTCTCCCCCTATAGGGTTCTGTCGATTGCACAAAAATTGAAGTCGACCCGTGGTCAAGGTCGATTGCGAACAGTGGGGTTCTTGACTAGGGCATCGGCACCCCCCATCGCCGGGACCAACCCTGGAATTGATGTGCTGTCCCCCAAAAAACCGAGCAGCTCAGAGGTCTTTTGATGTCTTTTTCAATCGAAGGGGCTTCCTGCCGGCACCTTCATACAATTGATGACACCCCCCCCAAAAGGACACCTTCAACCTCTAGAATTTCCAACAAACAGCTGGCCTAGCTCTTTCCATCCCCAAATCCAAAGCCCTGAATACAAAAACATCCCGGCTGAAAACAGCTTCCCTGAAAGGAACAACAAAGGCCATATTTTGCCTTAAGCGTTTCCTCTGGAAAGGAAAAACCCATAGCACAATCCACTCTGACTCACTAACATGGAAGTGGAAAATGGGCCCTTGGAAGGCTAGTTTCCTCTACAAACAGGCTCGGTCGTTCTACTTCCATGTGTTCGTCGGAGTGTGCAGCCTTCCCTCTCGGTCCTCCCTCGATCGAGCCCCGATCGAGCCCGGGAGCCGCCCGAGGCCGGCGCCGGCGCGCGCCGCTGCGAAGGAGGCGGAGCTGGAGTGAGGGGATGGGCCAGGATGGGCCATATGGGCGTGCGCCATGGGTTTTTAAAGCTGTGAGGATCTAGGATGTAGGGATGGGATGTAGATGCCGTCAAGAACGTTCTTGGGCTTTTGCTGTGACAAAAGGACGCTGCGAAGTGGGCATAGTTTCAGAAACTCAAGGGCTTGGCAGATGGCCTGGCTTCACAGAAGCCTTTTGTTGAAGATTTGGGCCTTCTGTTCCAGACTCAAGCACTTTTCATATACCTGAACTCGATGAACTCGAACCCATGGAATCTTCAGGAATGAGGGGAGGGGGAGGTCTTCTGCCGCAGATTCCTTGAGATATCTTGAGATATTTGTTCACGATTCTTTTTCTGGGCCTTTAAGCCTTGCATCAGCTCAGCCAAACAGCATTATGGGAGGTATGTGAACATCTGTACCTGAGCCATTCGACAATTGAACGCCATACATGGACTCTCACATTGAGAAAGGGGACCAGCATTTTCTGGGGGCTCAATGGACTGTTGAGCAAAGTGAAGACAGGCGACGCTGGTCTTCAGGTCCTTTTTAGGCGATGGGACGAACGGAGATGTGTTAAGAGTGATCATCAAAATGGGTTCTTCTCCCAAAAGGACAACAATACTCTTTTGAAATATCTTTTGGCCATCACTCATAGCATGAGTTAAACGCTTTGGAGGTTTGGTTCCGGGTGAAGGAACCTTTCACTAAGAGATGGAGAGGGGGGGCGGTGCCTTGAAAGGCCTGAAACAGGTGCCTTGCTGAGGCGAACCATGGGTCCACAGGTGAACCAGGTTGGAACACAACCGTCCAAGGGGTTGGAACCAGGCACGACCTGGTGGTTTCAAGAGCGGCAGGCCTGGGAGGCTTAAGATCACCCTAACGTCGATCTCGGTGGAAGAAGCGACTATTCTTGCCGCCTTTGGCAGAGCATCATGAAACATGATCTAATCTTGCTGCGAAGCTTTGGCGACTCTCAACAGCACCAAGACGAAACTGCAACAGTCCGTTGAACCGGACCCGCAATCCACCAGTTGAATGAACAACTCCGAACCAAGACCTGCAGGGTCGTCTTCCCACAACGTGCGAACGCCGCGACGTGCGTCGCGATTGAAAGCGACGACGGGTCGTGTGGCGCCAGGCGTTGGCTTTGCGGCAGGACAGAGACGCATTCTCTGTTGCCAGGGTGGACAAACCCTCTCAATATGATGGTTTCGGATATTTTTATTCCCCAAACAGTTTACTGTTAGGGGTTCTCAATGCTTTAAAGAATGGTCGCCTTGGTTCCCGGCTGGCTTGTCTCCCACGTCCTTTCATTTGTCTCCCAAGCTGGGTGCTTGTGGTCGGGTTCCCGGCCGGCTTGTCTCCCAGTTCTTTTCATTTGTCTCCCACTTCTTTTCATTTGTCTCCCAAGCTGGGTGCTTGTGGTCGGGTTCCCGGCTGGCTTGTCTTTCATTTGTCTCCACTTCTTCTCATTTGTCTCCCAGGCTGGGTGCTTGTAGTCGGGTTTCCGGCC